GGGTCCCGCCGCTGCAGCTGTCGGCCGCCCGGCCCGCGTCCCGGGCGCTGCTGCTCTCGCGGCCAGACCGCCGGGCCGGGAAGGAATTCGAGGCATTCGCTTTGTTTAAGTTGCCAGTAGACAGTCCTTAGGACTAATTAATGGTGGAATCTGCAGGGGGACGCGGGCGAGCCCGGCCGCCGTCGCGGTGAACTTTCCGCAGCGCGCGGCCCGCCTCCCTGCGCACCCCCGCCCTGGCGCGGCGGGGAGGGAGCCATGGCCGCCCTGAGCGCAGGAATGGAGCGCGCGGTTGGGGCCGCTGTCCTCCGGCTGCCGAGGCTGCGCGCGGGGAAGCCGGCGTCCGGGGCGGCCGGGCCTGGGCTCCGTAGCCCGGTGGAGACCTGGCTGAGGTGCCTGCGGTTTGTGCTAATTACCTTGGAGGAGGCTGTGCGAGCCGAGAAAGACCATGTTGCTTCGGAGCATCTGTTTCTTCATAGCGTCAGCCCCTTTCCTAACACTGCAGAGCTTGTTGTGGCTTGCTTCGGAAATGCCGAGGCCAGTGCTCACACTTGAAGGGGGGAGAGGGGGAAGAGAGGAGGCACCTCAAAAAAATCCCTGCAGTGTTCTTTGCAGAAGACCAAAGACGGCTTGCGGATTTCTCCGTTGCACCTTCACTGACTTGAATGACCTTGGGGAGAGGATTGTGCTTCTGAGCGCCCGGTGGCTAATCTGTCGATTGAGGAGAAAATACTGTGTGGACCTCCCTGCCTTTTGGGGGTATTCTGAGCCCCCCCCCCGCCCCAACTGCTGCAGTAGTTCTGGTTTAAGGAGCTGGAAGAGTGTCAAAGCTGGGAAGAATTCAGATCACCTAGAAAGATTTTACTACCCCGAATTAGGGAGGAGGAGAGGGTTTGGATTTTAGGAGGAGATTTCCTTTCAGAGAATCTGTACAGTATGTTCCAGATTGCTGTCACTTGGAGTGCAGCTTCGGTGGCGTTTATGCGGTTAAATTGAATAACCTCCATAGAAAATTCTTCTCTTGTTAGAAATAATTGTTTAGCTCAGAATTCCCCTTGGGGCAGATTAAGGCTTTGCTCAATTTACTCTGAAGAATTTTCCAGGTTTCTAAAATTAAGCCACTTTTCTAAATATAGTTACTAAAGTTAAAAAATTGAACTAGTGGGATGGAGCGAGTGTGAACCAAACAGCAAGTAGGTTCATTATTGACCGGCAATAATGTCGTTTGATAATTAGCTTCCTTTTTTAAAAAAAAATTAAATAATGTAAGACCAAGAAAGGGAACTAATACCGAGTTGCTTACTCTGTTACCAGTCATTTTGCTAGATGGTAGATATTTTGCTTAGTCTTCCCAACAATTCTATGAGGTGTTAGTTGGCATTCGTGTTATACAGATGTACAAAACTGAAGGTCAGAAGGTGCTGTTCCAAGTTCACACATAAACCAGTAAAAAGTGAGGCTGGAGTTCAAATCCAAATCTGTAAGGTCCATGGCTATTTCCATTGTGTATGCTGCCTGGGAACCAGGAAACCTAGTTTTGACTCAGCCACCGGGTCACTGTGGACCCTAAAATAAGTTACATAATTTCCCAGTAGAGTTGCCTCCTTCTAGCAGTGTTGTCAGTATGCGTTTAAATTATGCTCGTTTTTGAGAAAGATGTGAGCTTTGGCAGTGCTATGTCTTGTGTGTAGTAAGTGCTTAATTTTTGATTGTAAGTAGCAAAAATAGAGTACCTAAGTGATCAGATATTTCAGTTACATATAATGGAAGGTGGTAGCGGTCTAATGGTTCTTCCACTGTAGAGACCATTGTTAGGATGACTTTCTTAATCAGAAACTAAGCCATTTTTTATGTAACATGGCTCTGGGCGGCAGTCTTAACTCTGAGACACACTACGGGTGGGATTTAGATAGTCCAGGTGTATAGCTTTGACATGTATATGGTTGTGTAATCACTAGCACTACCTTTATTCTTCTAAACTGTTACGTTTTAGGAATTGAGTAGCAGGTTGACTGAGGAATGTTAGGTTTCTATGCTCAGATTCTATACTGTGAGATCAGAGTGAATACTGGAGTAAGTGTGCCAACTTGTTAGGAAATAGGGAAGCCTTGAAACTTAATGAGGTAAATTAAAATAATGAGAGAGACACGTGTTGGTTAGGAGAAAGATGAACAAATTTGGAAAAAACTAGATTTTAATTACTTTTAGGCCAGAAGATACATCTTTGGGGAAAATTACCCCACAGATTTATTACGGAGTTGAACATTTTTGTTTCCCTGTGAAATGCTAGCTCCTATGCCTATGAAGTCCTTAACATGTTATGGTTAGCATTACATGTCCAAATAACACTTAAGGGTGGGGATGCTGTGAAGTATTTGGAAGCCTTGCCTGCCTTTCTGCCTATGACAGAATTTCCTTAGTGTTGTTCTCTAACTTGTTTTAGCTAATATTCCACAAAGATAATAATACATTAGGTAGAAATTGTGGTTGTTGGGAAGACATAAGATTATTTTTTTCCCTTGCTATAATTTCTTTAGTCACTGAGGCTGACCCAGTTTGCTTTAGCTGAAATCTCTGACTTAGAAAATGGTTGAAACTGCTGCTACTGAGGATCTAGAAAAAACTTCCTTTCTACTACTTCTTCCTTTCCTTTTTAAAATTCATTTCATTTCTCTAGTTTCTTTGTTTTATAATCTCTGTCCCACTTACAAATTTAAGAATGGAAGCTCTTGTTAATATAAACCATTGGCCCTTACATACCATTAAGAGATAATGATTAAATTAAAATACCCTCCAGACTACTCAACATTTTGGGTGGCTGTGGGGAGAAGATAATAACTCTTTGAGGAGGTAGTCATTATCCTCATTCTTTTTTTTTTTTTTTTTTTTTTTTGGTTTTTCTCCGGTACCAGGAACCGAACTCACGACCTTGCGCTTGCCAGGCAGGCGCTTTTGCCGCTGAGCTAAATCCCCAGCCCCTCCTCATTTTATTCTTGAGGGACCTGATCTTAGAGCAGTTACTGCCAGAGCTAGTGAGGGGCCAACCATTGGTTTGAGCTCAGGCATGACTGATGCTCAGGTTTGGGATCTTTTATTTCATTATGCACACAGGTGTGTTGGGGTGGGGGTGGAGAGGGTCAAGGAAAAGGCTTGAAGAAAAATACCATTTTAAAATCTGAGCCATAACAAGCATTGTTAGCTTTTACAGAAATTGCTATTTTCATCTGTTCCTTTTGTAATTTCTAGATATACCTTCTTACATTCTAAAGAATTTATAGCTCATCTTTTATGGCACAAATCCCTTCCCAGATTCAGCTTTTTTTTTTTTTTTAAGTATGATACTTTTTTTGAGACAGGGTTTCACTATGCTGTTCAGCTTGGCCTTGAACTCATCTTTGTAGCCCAGGCTGGCCTTAAGCTCACAGCAGTCCTCCTGCCTCAGCCTCCTGAGTGTTGGGATTACATGTGTGTGCTACCACGCCCAGTTTAAGTATGGAACTTACTATTCATTGGTAGTTTGAGTTATACCTCTTCCTATTTTTTTCATGTCTGAAAAGCATTCATCGTGTTAATTATTAAAGAGCCTTTATATTTGCATGTGCCTCTCTATTCCTGTTTTTATCTGGACAGTCATATTTTAAAAATGTAATTAAAAATTTGCGGGGGCTAGGGATTTAGCTCAGCGGCAAAAGCGCCTGCCTGGCAAGTGCAAGGTTGTGAGTTCGGTTCCCCATACCAGAGAAAAACCAAAACCAAAACAAAACAAAACAAAAATTTAGGGGCTGAGGATTTAGCTCAGCGGCAAAAGCGCCTGCCTGGCAAGCGCAGGGTTGTGAGTTCGGTTCCCGGTATCGGAGAAAAACAAAACAAAACAAAAAATTTGCATAAAACTTTAAAAATTCACCATACTTTTTATGAAATTATCATGCTTTTTGTAATGTATGTGGAAGATACACATGAGAGCAGGTAGAAGATTTTTTTCTGTAAACTGAGTAGACCCATGTAACCACTGTTGCCAGTAACCAGAACCCCCCATGGAGTTCCCCTCCACTTCTTGCCCCTCTATGCCCCACAGGTAGCAGCATAGATTAGTTTTGCCCTTTTGTAAAGATTAAGTCAAATAGTATACATTCTTTTGGTTCTGGCTCCTTTTACTTAACACTATTTTGCAAAAAAAAAAAAAAAAAAAAAAAAAGATTTTCTTTTGGACTTGGACTAAAACAAAAAGTTAAACTTTTTATCTTAGCCTCTAATGCATTTTATAGCCTGACCTCTGCCTACCTTTCCAACTTAGTTTTGTATCATTTTCATTGTCCCTTATGTTTCACTCACTTTAGCTTGTTTATTTTCAAACTCAACAACCTCTTTTCTACCCC